TATGGAGTCACTTTCAATCCTCACCTCCCCTCCGTCACTGTCCCCTGCAGACACAGCACTCCGAGATCCAGCACCAGTCTTCTTCTAGAATGAATGACGCCCAGAATCATCCCCTTCCTATGAGCCCAGGACGTCAAGGGCCCATCCCCTGGGGGCACTTGATCAGGTTGCCCTGGGAGTAAGGGAGAATGCTGAAGAATACAGCACAACGTCGTTACATGGTGAGGTTCTTTGTAGCATTTAGGCCTTGTTCACACCAAGCGCGGAGCAGATGCAGATCAGTTGCAGACCGGATCAAAACTGCGTCCAATGTATTCCAATGGTATTTTTTGCTCCAGTTCACATCGCAGCGTGCGGTTCCAGAGCAGGTGAAAAAAACTGCAGCAGGCCCTATTTTACCTGCTCTGGATCTGCAAACGCATCAAAAACGCATCCAAATGCCTGGAACGCACTGAAAGCCCATTTTAAACTTTAAAGGAGAACTATGGGGTCAGGGCTGATCGGAGCGGGGAGAGGGGAATCCAGCCCCTCCCCTGTCACGGCAGAGAGCCGTGACAGGATCGAGAGGTGAGCGAACGCCGGAATCTGTTCGCTCACCTCCCGATCTACTGAGCCGACCTGTGACAGTCTCATTGTCACAGGTCGGCTAGAACTATGAGGAGTGGAAAGCACCCCCCCCCCCTCATAGTTCTCCTTTAACAAAAAACGCATCTAAAAGACTAGCGTGCGTGAGCAGAAACCTGACCGGATCTGCGCTGCATTCGGTGTGAACAAGGCCTTAGGGATGTAGAAGGAAATTTGCAATGTCATGTGACCGGAGCAAAGGTCCATGGAAAAAATGTAATTACAGAGAACCTGGAATTGGGCTCTCAATACGTCAGTATGAAAGAATACATCACCGTTTCAATCAATTCATCAATCAATCTTTATAAGGACTACTTAGAAATGTCACCATCAACATGCTAAGGGCTGCATGTAAAAATAAAATATGCATAGGTATCTTGATACGGCCTAATCAGCAGCACGATGGTGTAAATAGATGGTTGGGAAATGTGTCAGCATACCAACATTAAAAGTCACATTGGGAAAAGCTTGTACCTGTGGTTGCAAAACTGGCTCCATCTGTAATGAGGAAGTGACATCATGACCCGAGGTGACCTGGTGTTCTGAATCGTTGGCACTGGACCTCGTCCAATGTTTCCGTCCTTAGTGGTGGATTTGTACTACATAGTATAAACCACTGAGCCACCAATGCTTCATAGAAATAAACACATCCCCTATCCCCGGCCTAGATGCCTGTTTAGCAGGGCATTCCACAAGACACAGGGGAGATGTGTAGATGGAGTCTGGCACACTTCAGAAGGTTCAACAACTCTGTATTTTAAGCTAACTTTATTATGTATAGAACCTCCCCACCCTACCCAAGATCTCACCCTGGTTTCGGGTCTATCTCAGGCACTTACTATAATGGAGTGACAACTGACTCACAGTTGTGCTCAGGGACGGATTTCCCACAAGGCCAACCGAGGCCCGGCCTTGGGGCAGCAGGGAGTAGAGGGGCAGCAGTGGTGTAGAATTCCTATCTCCCGAAGCCTGGGACATGCAGTTACGGGCGCCAGGCGGGTAGTAGTTTTCTACATTTAGCCCTGCTTTGGCCAAGCAGGGCTAAATGTACAGCGGGGAAGCCGCCGCTTGTTTTGTACAAGTGATCTCAGCGACGTTGCCGAGATCACTTGTATGCAGCCTGGCCTGGGAGCAGCAGAAAGAGGAGCCTGGCCTTGGGGCAGCAGAGAGAGTAAATCCGGCCCTGGTTGTGCTCCACAGTTGACCCCCCCTCACATGTACTCTTTGTGGAGACTACAAACGGCTACTCAAGCACGGTCCACCATTGTCAACATCAGGAAGCCAGTTCAGAGGGCGACGATGTGCAACCAGCACTGGAGCAAGTGCATGTAGACAGGAAGTGGCTAAGTGAAGCTGGAGGAGATCGAGAGCACTGAGATGAAAAAAGAGAGAAAACAGCAACAACAAAAAAGTGATTGTTTATGACACACAGGGCTTTATCTAGCCATACACTTTTAGATTCCCCCCATCCACACCTAGGAATCTCCGACACCGGCTATCGTATTCAAAAATGGATCCAAATGATGGACACCAAACCATTCAAGTCCATAAAAGGTTTAACGTTGCAAATTCAATCAAATCAATAAAACAACATCCCTCTTCTTCAGGGTGTAGAACAGTGTAAATTGCTGCGTAAATTGTCAGCGCTATATAATTACCTGTAATAAATAAAAGAAGATGGCAGAATTATAATAGAGAAATCTTTGTATTTACCAGATTTTCTTCCCCCTGAGTTGACGTGCATGGTCACATGTCCTAGTCACATGTGCCAGACATCCAGGAAGTAATGGGAGATGGAATCATCTGCCCTTAGTAAAAATGGCCGCTGTGAGAAGAATGGGAAGGAAAAGAAAAACAAGGTAAGTAAAGAATATAAAGATGGCAATTATCTATAAATATCTGTTTGTAGATTGTCATTACCAAACATTTCTAAAGGGGTCTTTGTTGTCATTTCACAGATAATGGTGAAGTTCCTCTATAAATGCCATACAGGTAGGAGGGATCTATGTAGTGTGGTGGGTAATCTAGAAGTGCGCCGAGATTAGATCAGACCACTGCAAGCAAACCTGCCCGGAGTTGAGGAGCTGATTTATGATATTCTGCATACAAAGTGGCTCCAGTGACAATGTACATTACTACATACAGTATTATCTTGGCCAATAATAACAATGACCAGACTAGATGCAACGTCCGGGTGATCTGATAGGTCCGCAGTGTTAGGTTTACACTTTAAATGGTTTTTAGGCTTTTATTTAGCACTTGGCACGTTTTCTTAGAACTGAGCGCATGATAATGGCACCTGCAATAAAACACTTAAAATGTCTTAAGGATTCTAAACCTTCACCTGCAGGCTATAGCTAAGTTATTCTGCACCTTCAATTATCTTTTCGTCACTCTGCTGTTAGCTTGTAAGGGGCAGAGTAGACACTGCGGGCCCTGAGGCTACACCATGTGCGTGTGTGACCAACTCTCCTGGTATCAGCTGCTTGGTGACCACAAGGCCTGCTGAAAAAAAAACATTATCAAGTCATTCGACTTCATCATACTTGGTACTGACTGCTAAATACGCAGAGACTGGACCGACTCAGCGGACCGCCGCCAGAAAACATCTTGTCAACAGTCCCTTTGCAGATTGACAGCTATGTATCCGAGGGGTCATGTAGTAGCCACAGGCAATGTCTATTTAATGGGGGGGGAATGGTCAACTTAAAAACTTGCCCGAGCAGCTATTTCCCCTGAGGTCACCTTGTCCTCATTTGAAGCATAATGAACGCAGCTCCGGTTGTCATTCTTTATCTTTCCCCAGAGGTGAAACAATGAAGCTGAGAGGAAGAAAAGAAATGGCAAAGTTTTGAAAGCTGGGGACCCGCGCGCCATTCTCCTTTGTTGCTCGCTCGCTCCACCTGCCTTCCAAATGTGATATAGAAAAGTGAACAAGTGCTTAAAGACACTGAAGGCGGCAGGTGTTTCCGATTTCCTTGTGGAGAGTACAGTGTATTGTTGTGCTTTTCACCCTTCCCTAGTAGAATGTTGACTCTTTTTAGTTGTGCACCTGTCATATAGAGGGTGCAGCTGCCGGAGAACTACAAGACTCAGCAGGCTCCATTGCTGGCTACGAGAAGAGACAACTGGAATTTTATTTATGATCTGTTATTAGGTGGTTACTGAACCCTGCGCATCAAATTCTGAACTCCTTCATCAGTATGGCTTAACTTTCACAAAAGGGGTCACAACATTCAGCGCCATGGGGCCCCGTGCAAGACCAATTTTTAGCCCCTATTCAACTATTTGCCATATAAAAATAGGTATTCACTGTGTATTGATTGGCAGCTAGATAGACATTAGCTACATCCCCCCTTCTCACCCACATCTACTATAAATCCCCTCCCCCCCCCCAAATCCAAAAGATCCCTTGCATGGTCTTTACAAATGGTATATCCGCCCCTATTACCACTCAGAGACCAAAGTATGGAATGATTAAATGCATTCTGTACATTACCGTTTGTCTCCCCCTTTTAGGGTTGTAGCAAATGAGTTTTTGAATTTCCTTTTGTGCCTCCCCTTGAGGGCAGGTTCACACCATTTTCCGGACCAGATCTGGTCTGGAAAAATGGTGTGAACCTGCCCGCAGCTCCAGTACATTCCGAACCAGACATGAGACGAGCAGTATTTTTCTGGTCTGGTCTGGAACGGACTGCGCTGGTGTGAACAGAGGGCAGAAATAGCATAGGGATACATTAGGATGCATTTTGAGTCTAGAAACAACCTGGTCTGGTCTGGAGATGATCTGGATGTGGTGTGAATGGGCCCTTAGGGTTGTAGCAAATTAGTTTTTGGATTTCTTACGGTGTCTCCCCCTTTTAGGACTGTAGCAAATTAGTTTTTGGATTTCTTACTGTGTGTCTCCCCCTTTTAGGGCTTTAGCAAATGCGTTTTTTGCATTCCTTACAACAACATCACATAAACCCCTTAAGTACAAAAAAAGGAAAAAAAAAAACATAGTTTTATAAATTAGTTTTTTGTTTTTTTATTTATTGAATATCAATATATTGTGTTTATAAAAAAAAAAAAAGATTCAACAGTACAAAATGTGGCAGATAAAAATATAAATACAAATGTACCTTTCAAAATGTAAACATTTGTTTGTAAGGATTATGTAGAAAAAAAAGATCATTACAAAAAAAAGAATGTACAGATGCTTAAAAAAATGCATTGAAATGACACCTGTCAATAGACATAAATATCTTCTTTTTTTTTTGTATTTTGTAATTTCTGCTGGTTCA